GAGGGGGGGTTATATCACTAAAACTTATTATTCTCAATAATACTCAAGAAAAAAAAATCAATGCCAAGTTTACTTGAATATATTCTGTTTCTTTGTGTATTAAGTATTAGTCGCGATCATTTCCTGTGTATAGGGATTAGCAGAGCAAGAGCAGGAAACGGCATGCCCTAGGGGTTTCACACCTGTCCTAGAGTACCTGTGGTAAATTTCTCTGCATGTGCAAGGCGTTGTCTAGCCATACAACACACCAGTCCCTTCAACGTTTCATTATTTCTTCATTTTCAAATGTAACTACAACCATGAAAGTTACGCGAGTCAATATATACTTTTTTTTTTACCTTGAGTGTATGTTAAAAGGAAAAAGATCAATCATACTTTTAAAACAAATTAATAGAGTTTAAATGAAATAAAATAGATCAAATCAAATTATGTTTTATTACTTTTTTTTAAAAAATGCCGACGGGCTTGGTATTTATGTTTCTGTTTAATATATATCTACATGTACATGTGCATGTATTATGCAAGTAGAATGTAGAATTTAAAAAAACGTACAGAATATTACGGAACGTGCAACGTTTTTCCTTCGGTCAGTTTATTGATTTATCGAGTCCATCGATTAAAACAAAATATTCATGATAGAATTTCAATGAAATGAATTGCTTCTGGATTATTTTTTTTCCAGTTTCAATATGTCGTTTCTGTGAACAGATAATATACTGTAGCCGATTTATCAGTTTATTGTCCAGTTGTGGACTTTGACTGATTCTACGATCAAGTTTCTGAAAAACACCGAAATAGTGACAGCCACAGACACTATTTAAGGTCTTCTGTTTAAATAGGACGATTAAAGACAAAAATATCTACTGAAACAAGATCATCGTCGCAAGCCACGGGTTTTGTGTCCATTCTATTTCCACAAACCCGTGGCTGCCTCCTACCAAATTCTCTCGTTCTCGCGACTGAATCAATGAATATTTATTAAGTGACGCCAGATTTACCCTGACCAATGAAATCACTCTGTAGCAATTTTTGGTACGCTTAAATGGCGGCGCCCATAATGAAATCATGTTTGCTATGCGTGGCAGATTTATTGAAAAAAAAATACGATAGATCCTGAAGAACAGATGTGAGTAACGTATATTCTAAAATACTTACAAGGTTTTACATTAAAATACAGGGTTTCGAATTTAGACGTTGTGTGAGAACGCTGAATAGCGTTAATCGTTAAGAAAGGAAATTCGAACCGAAGTTGATGTACAGCTCGTGGTTATGGTTACATCCAAATACAAGATAGAATGATCATTTTCATTGGTTCTGACTTGAAGCGTTAGATGTTATTCCATTGGTTGAAAGTATGTTATTTATATTCATGAGAACGAGAGAAATTTGAAGGAGGCAGCCACGGGTTTGTGGAAATAGAATGGACACAAAACCCGTGGCTTGCGACGATGAAACAAGATATAATAACATATTTTGGTGACATGTGGTAGGTACATGTATATGATATTTTAGGCCCGATATCCAAGAGGGGTCCAGTGTTAACAAAAGGAAGTGACTTACCTTCTCTATTTCATAATACCGCGGGTATGATTTTTTAATAAAACGTTAATTCTACGTTATTTTTAAGGATTTTTCATATGGAATACATTGTAAATGTGTACTAGAAGATTAATCTATGGAAAAAGACGAATAAAAATATTCTTGGACCCCGGGGTGTATATTGAGGGGAGGGGGGGTCCTGTCCACAAGCACCTGTGCAGCATTCAAGTTTAAAAGACCATTCAAACAATACAAATCAGAAACAGTGCAAATCTTTTGAAATCAGAGGTAGAATCAAGTGCCATGGATCTGTCATGTTGTAAATTTTGAACTTACCGGTTGTCAGTATTTACTACCACCCGGTAAATTCAAAATTTATAGCATGAGAGATCCTTTTCACGCTAGCACTTACCCCGACACGAGACCTTATACGGTCTCATCCAAAGGACCGATCTCCACGTTTTACTACTTATCCAAACTGGGCATAAAACATTCTCAATGATTTTTTTAATCATTATGTTAAACCTAACAAATTATTCCGACTCGCTGTATGATCTGAAAAAACATGGCTGAACTTATCCATTCAGAAACTCACAGACTGGGATTGCTTTTAACCAGTGTGTGTTATGGCCTTGATGCAAGGTCATTTGGTCGAGTCAAGGTCACTGACAGAGAAACTGTATTTGTACTAGTGAAACATTGCTGGTATCATGCAGAGTGTGACATGGCCTTGACTCAAGTTCAAGGTCACTAAGGATAAGATGTTTTGACTGTATGTATGGACTAAAAGAACATGACGTGTCACTGTGAACTTTTCAAGTCGGTGACACACAGATTGGGTTTTATGACGAGAGTGTGTCATGGTTTGACGCAAGGCATTTGGAATGTTCAAGGTCACGTACGTTCCTTTACAGTTTTTCCTAGTGAAATATTGTAAGTTGCTTCCCCTTACAAAATTGCTTACATGTATAACTTTAGAATGTGGCATGACCTTGACTCAAGGTCACTTCTTCCTTCCGCAGCTCCAACGGAAGACCTATTCGTTGCTTTGCAACGAGCTCGCTCTAGTTTTGAATTACATCCTTGGATTAAAAATTCATCGCATTGTTTAGGACCAAATCAGTCAGCTAGGAAATAAGAGAAGTTGACGTTTGTTATGTAGTTTTTACTGATTCCTTTAATATCTATAGTCAGCAACCATACAAATGAAGCAGACTACATGTGTTGAATTTTATTTTGAGCTTATCCACATATATCCAGTAGATATATAATGTATAATTGAATATAATGTTTAATTGAAAATGTACATTGCATGGCCGTAGGAACCGGGAGGGGGGCACGGGGGGCCGTGCTCCCCCATATAATTTTGCCAATATATAGAGTACTATATAGAAAACGTAGATACTATATGCTTGTGCCCCCTCAATAAAAACGTCAAGGAATTTTTGGTGGTTGCATGATAGTGCCCCCTCAACTGAAAATGTATCGCTGTGCCCCCCCCCCCCCTAAAAAAACAACTGAAATTGCTTCCTACATCAAACGCTATCGATGTATTTAGAATTAAAAGGCACAACGAGAGTGTTCTTCTTTTCCTGTTGAAGTTTTTAATGAATATTCTGATTTGTAAGAAACATAAAACTGGTCGGCTAAGAAAGGTGCACATGAAAATTCCAGATTGATCGAAGGCATGGCCTGAAAGACTACAATTTCTACATTAAATATTGTTAATGAACCTGGAACTTCAGAGCACTTGATCCTGATATCACAATGACTTTTAGCAGATGACCAATCACTATGAAAATTTCCGAATTATATTTTTTTAAACAGTTGTCTGCGATGTCAAAAAGCATGTTCTTTAATTCATCTCGAGGAATGGTTGTATGAAGTGTTGAAAAATTTTACTTTTTGATGTTATTGATTTAAAAAAAAATGCGATTACAATTTTAAAAAAGTTCTCTGAAGTTTTTGAAATCAACGTTTACACAAATTTTGGAATACTAGTATGTTGAAGCACAGTATGTCTGAGTTTTGTCTCTCATTGAAGTTAACATTTTTGCGAGGACTGAAAGATAGGGTCTTGACAGAACATGCATCGGGTCATGTATGTATCTTTGTCAGGATTTTTATGAAGTTTTTGAATGAAGTATCATAGAGAGATACCCTGACTGTATCAATGATGCAAACTTTACAGAAATTGCACTGCTGTTATAAACACTTATTCCACACACGAGATTTTTATTTAAATTCCAAGTAAAAGAAGAAACATATGAACATGCATCCATTTGTTCTTGACTTGAACTTAAAGGGAAAAAAATTCATATAAGTATAACTTGACATTTTCGAGTAAGTGATGTTGGAGATTATTCGAAAAGAGGCAAAATATTTTAAGTAGAGAGCAAAACTATTTTTGGAAACGTCTTGCTGTTTCTACTTAAATCGACTACTAAGTTCCGACAGCGTACTTCCGTCAGTTTTCAAAAGCACTACATCGTTTTTTGTTTTTTTTTTCGTTTTTTCTTTATTTTTTAATTTTTTTACTCTTCAGGTCTGTAGAACGCCAGGGTGGTGGGCTTTTCTGAATATAGTACATGTATTTTGCTATAGTAAATTTTCCCTTAGATGTTGGTTGACCCCCCCCCCCCCAAAAAAAAAAAAAAACCACACACTTTTTGTTGCTGTAAGGTCGAGCACTAGCAAATTATAGGATTTGGACAGTTCAATTGTTATTTGTTTTGTTTTTTTTTTTTTTTTTTTTTTTTTGTTTTGTTTTGTTTTGCTCATCAGATTATTTTGGGAAGTCTCCCCCCTTTTGAAATCGTTGCTACGGACCTGCGCTAGCAGATACTGAGCTGATTTTTGGTGTGCAGTCTACATAAATATGAACGTACGAAAGTGCATGATTTTTTTTTTTTGGTACTTAAGAAAATATGAACCCCAACCATCCCCCAATAGATTTTGCGTTCGACTTGCTGGTATATTTTAAAATTACTTTTTTAAAACATGTCGGCACTTAGTGTTTATTTTTATTTTTGATATAAGAAGTTTAAAATGTATTGACATATCTCTATATTGTTGTAATACAGACACCAGTTTTAGTAATAAATTTTTTAACCCGTTGAAGTTAAAATGTATTGACATATCTCTCTATTGTTGTAACACAGGCACAAGTTTTGGTAATGATTTTTTTTAATCCACAATATAATAATAACACGTGTTATTATACTATGGGTTAAAAATTTACTGCCGAAATAAGTGCCTGTGGGTTTTATTATGAAGTGTTCAACAATCATTTATCAGTTGGTTATATGGGAAGTATTTTAAACACCTGCCTTAACTAAACATGTATGTTATTCTCGGTGTATTTTATCTTCTTCCCTCGTACAGGTATAACGATTGTTTATGCACCATTACACAACACCAGTAATGCATATTTAATTTTCCAGGTGAATACCGATTTTTGATGAAGGTGACGCGCCTTGTCACAATTACCCGTCATGGGCGGCGGGACGCCTTCTTTTATAGCCTTGGGGTCTTATTACGCGACATGCGGTAATGGTGTTTGAATAACGCCAAAATAAACAGCGAGACGCCTTCTTATCGGTGGGGGTGATCCGAGGTTAAGGCCATACCGGACATTGCCGGACGCCGAACTGAAAGCTCAAGTATCCATGAAGGAAGTACAGAGGGATTTCACGATATAGGATGTGATTTTCTGGCAAACAGGCAAGTTTATTAAGATCTTTTTTTCCCCCTAGAGTTCAGTAACTACGTTAACCCTGGCCTTGTGATCATGATAGCATGTTGATCTGATTAAGGAACGGTGTAAATACAGGCTTGTGTGTTTATGTAAATCGAGGGGCTTTAATCTGTTAATGTTGTATGTAATGACTGTCAAAAGTATAAATTGCGTATAAAAAGTTCAAGCATTATGTATGGAACGCCGCAACTGCCTTATGTGGAGAATTTTCATTATATGCTGATATTTCCACATTATATGCTGATACTTTGTCATTATATGCTGATACTTCAACATTATATGCTGATACTTTGTCATTATATGCTGATACTTCAACATTATATGCTGTTACTTCAATATTATATGCTGATATTTCAACATTATATGCTGATACCTTGTCATTATATGCTGATACTTCAACATTATATGCTGTTACTTCAATATTATATGCTGATATTTCAACATTATATGCTGATACTTTGTCATTATATGCTGATACTTTGTCATTATATGCTGATACTTTAACATTATATGCTGTTACTTCAACATTATATGATGATACTTTAACATTATATGATGATACTTCACTATATGGTGCTTTAAAATAGGTCAAACATCGGGATCGTGATACCGTTAATTATTTAACAGTTCAAGGAATAAAAATGGCGCAAAATTGTGAAAACGCATGTAAAAGGATCACATTGAAAAGCATCCTCGAGGAACTAAAGATCGGCCCACAGGTGATCGATAGATTTGTAGAAGAGAGAATAGATGTTGATAATATTTTAAGCTTGAGCGATGAACAATTGAACAGTTTTGGAATTACAACTATTGGCGATCGAATTCGTCTCCGAGAAATGGTCAAATGCAAAACCGAGAGATGTTCAGTAACTCTGCTTAATTCAGGGGCAAGTTCTGTAGCATCTATGTTAAATCACCAGAGAAACTTACTTTTTACGACTAAAAGGTCAAAAAGACGGATCAATGAACCAGCCAAACCAGGTACGTAAATTAGCAATGTTTTATAGTAATAAACACATGAACATGTCCAGTCCAAAGCACAGGTGCTTGAGGACAGGACCCCCCCCCGCCCCCGATATAGACCCCCGGGCCTTTACGACTTTTTTTCTCAAAATTATCTTTAAATGACATATTTGTGATATAATCTATACCAACAATTCGAAAAATTACCTAAAACAAATATTTTATAAAATCTACCCCACTCTCTCTATATATAAATCGATTTATATATGTACATATATATATATATATATATATATATATATATATATATATATATATATATATATATATATAGGGTAGGGTAGTAACTTTTATAAAATGTTTGTTTAAGTCAATTTTCCGAATTGATGATACAGAGATTTTATCACATATGGGTCATCAATATATAATTTATAAGAAAAAAGTCGAACAGGCCCGGGGGTCTATATCGGGGGGGGGGGGGGGGGGGGGGGGTCCTGTCTTCAACTTGACAAGCACCTGTGGTCCAAAGACTATTTCTAACTACATAGCTGTTAATAGATACCCAGGTATTTAAACCTACCCAAAGTAGCTATTTTTACCTACTTTTTGCATTTTGTGGCCAAATGGCTGAACGGCGCAACATGGTGAGTACAAAATTTCTTGATACAGTCACACTGATGATGAATACAATAAAATTTTGCCCAAAAAATGATTACTTCGTAAATTAACAATTTTGTATTCATTACTATGCAAAATTTCACCAGAAAACTATTTTGAACTTTTGAGCATTCCTTAGGAATTATCTTTTCTTGTACCACAATGAACAGAACAGAACATTTATTTTCTAATTTAGAGCCCATAACAGACAAGTATGAAATTATTACAATAATAAAGAAAAGATATGCCAATGGGTAGTATAACAATTTGTAAATGACATTGCTCATTTCAACCATAATATTGTACTATTTCAGTTAAAGGGAATACTATATATAAAAGTGTATGGCTACTACATGTTATCATTTGAATTTAATGTAATTTAGGGGAACAATTATTCTTCGCAAAGTAGGACTTACAGAAGTAGAATTTAATGAAACCATACTATATTTTATGTTTTCCCAAATTTCATAGGAAATGTAACCTAATTTCCTCTTGTATAATTTTGAAGCAATCTATATGTACAAACCTCCCATATTTTTTACATTGTGACGTCACACGTGTATACTGAAACAGCCTGAACTGCCACAAGGATGACAAAACAGAAGAATAACGATCCACAGAATTTATGGACTATTTTATTAATCACAAAAAACAATTGTTTAATTTACTTAGTTACTAAATCTTAAGTCAGAAAAAGCCTTAGAGACAACTATAAACTAATTACATCTTGTATAAAATACCGTTGTTAAGCAGATCCGCATATGTACAAAACAGTCCGCATTTTATTTTGTTTATAGCAACGCCATCGGCATTTTTTACTTCAATAGATAAATCTACATGCTTGATTGTTCTGATGATGACCGTCTCTGGTTGAAACTGGTGAACAAAATAAATTCACTGCTGCATTCTCACGAAGTGTTGGTGATCTGTTTTATATCTTCCAGTTTACAACTTTAGGTACAGACCCTATTGAATACCTTTCGGTATCCACACGTGAGAATCTTCCACAATTTTAATCTCAAGGTGTTGGTCTCCTGTTTTTCTTTGTTTTGTACTATGCAAAATTGTTAATTTAGGAAGTAATCTGCTTATCATCTTTTGGCCAAAATTTTGTTGTATTCATCATCAGTGTGACTGTATCAAGAAATTTGGGACTCACTATGTATAGAGGGGTTTGAGAGATCGAAAGGAGAAAGAAATCCATTATTTTCACGTCTGATCATTATGGTTCTATTCAGAAATATTCATGCTGAAAACTCATTCATATTTTACGGGTTATTCATTCGATTTCAAACAACAAAGTACCTTGATTAAGTGAAAAAAAAACTTTCAGTTTTAATATTTTTAGTTCACCTGAGCTGAAAGCTCAAGTGACCTTTTCTGATCACCCGTTGTCTGTCGCACGTCCATCTGTAAACTTTTCACATTTTCAACTTCTTCTCAAGAACCACTGGGCCATTTTAACCAAATTGGTACAACCTTGGGTGAAGGAGAGTTAAAATTTTTAAAATGAAGGGCCTAGCCCCCTTACAAGGGGAGAAATCAAAAAAGACAAAAATAGGGTGGGGTCATTAAAATTAAAAAAATCTTCTCAAGACCAGAAAAGCTGAAACTTAAATGGAAGCATTCTGGGGGTAGTGTAGATTCTAAATTGTTGAAATAATGACCCCCAGGGTAGGGTGGGGCCATATTAGGGAATTCAAGATTTAGATTGAAATATACAGGAAAAATCTTTAAAAATCTTCTCAAGAATCACTGGGCCAGAAAAGCTGCAACTGGAAGCTTTTTGAGGTAGTGTAGATTCTAAATTGTTCAAATCATGATCCCCGGGGTCAGGTCAGGGACCACAAAAGGTATTACAAGGGTTAAAATCTGGTGAAGAACAGCAGGGCCAAAGTTAACCAGGTGAGCATTGTGGCCCATGGGCCTCTTGTTTATGTTGGAAGTTATAGGGGAAAATGTTAAAAATATTTTCTCAAGAAGTACAAAGCTCTGATTAGTCATATTAAATTGGAAGCATCCTCTAGCAGTGTAGATTAAATTTTGTTAAAAATCATAGATCCTAGGTAGGAACAGGCCACAAAAGGCAATCAAAATTTTAGATAGGAATACATGTAATGATTGTTATTTCTGTGCCAATGGGCCTCTTATTTTCTAGAAATGGGCCAATTTCAATTAAATTTAGCAGAACATCCTGGATAAAGGACTTAGGTTGTTCAAATTATTCAGCATATAAGTGTTCTTCTTGATAAGCACCAAGCTAGAAAAATTAACTTATGTGAAAGTTTTCTGCCATAGTCTTGATTTTTAAATTCTTCAAATTGTGGTCCCTAGGAAGAGGATAACACTTCACAATAATGGGAATAAATAATCTTTTTAAACAGTAGGGGCCATGATTAGTCATGTTATGTTAACTTCCATAAGCAATGCAGATTCAAGTCTGTTCAATCACTTGAAACATTTGTCAGCTTTCCAATTATATATTTTACTTTGTGGAAGTTGCTTACATCATTTATTCATGATCACTTTTCAGATCTGCATAATCATGGTTTCACAAAGCACCAAAAAGTTGCAAGAACTTGGACAGTAACTGTGGTTTGTTTAGCTGATAAGGAAGCGTTAAAGGTCCCATCATCCTCAGAGAAAGACATTCTATTTAAAGCGGGCCTGGGTACTCGCAAGATACAATTTTTATCATCTGACAAAGAGGCTGACGTACTACAAAGAATAACATCTGACAAATTGACTGAAGATGGTCAAACTTTTGGATTTCCACAGCTCAATAAGTGTGGTGGGTTTGAATTGCTTAAATGTAAACAGAATTGCAGAGAACTTTCTCTTATTGATTGCGAATGGTCAGTATCTCAACTGAAGGCATATCTTGGAAGTCAGACAAAATTATACATACGTCCAGTGCAAACAAACTTAAGTACAGAACCTATTGATAAAAATGTCAGAATTCAAAGTGAAGAAATTTGTCGGTTTTGCAAAAACAGTTACGCTATCCGTGATCTTCGACAACATGTTAAGACATGCAAAGACAAGTCAAAACTAAAAGAAGTTTGGAAGAATGAGAGTGACAGTGACAGTTTACCAGATCCTCTGACTGATGGAATTTCTGATACAGATGTAGCATGCAAAAGACAAGGGGATGATAACAAGAATGTCCCTGCATCATTTTCAAATTTGCATGATTCTATGCATTTCTCTCCTAGTTTCCCTTTTGATATAGCATGTGAAACGCAAGGGGATGATAACAAGAATGATTCTATGCATTTCTCTCCTAGTTTCCCTTCTTTTGCTGCAACTTCATTTAATCATCAGAAGGAAGACTATGGAGAAACTA